TAGTGAAGAACTAGAAGAATTGCATGCTTTAAAGAGTTAGTACTATCAACCTAGTGAAGAACTAGAAGAAATGCAAGCTTTAAACAGTTAATACTATCAACCTAGTGAGAACTAGAAGAATTGCATGCTTTAAACAGTTAGTACTATCAACCTAGTGAAGAACTAGAAGAAATGCAAGCTTTAAACAGCTAGTACTATCAACCTAGTGAAGAACTAGAAGAAATGCAAGCTTTAAACAGTTAGTACTATCAACCCAGTGAAGAACTGGAAGAACTGCATGCTTTAAACAGTTAGTACTATCAACCTAGTGAAGAACTAGAAGAAATGCAGGCTTTAAACAGTTAGTACTATCAACGTATTGAATAACTGAAAGAACTGCATGCTTTAAACAGTTAGTACTATCAACCCAGTGAAGAACTGGAAGAAATACAAGCTTTAGATAGTTAGTACTATCAACCTTGTGAAGAACTGGAAGAACTGCAAGTTTTAAACAGTTAGTACTATCAACCTAGTGAAGAACTATTGGAAGAACTGCAAACTTTAAACAATTAGTAATTGGGACGACACACACAAAATTTCAAATGTAGCACAATATTTATACATAATACGTGGGTTCAATAAGTCTTGACACAAGATTATGAAAACCCTATAACCCGAGCGCTTTCAAAAGGTGAACCTTTATTCTTCAGAAGCAAACTGAATAAGAACTGTTTTTTAATTAAATTAATTAAATTGTAATTAAATATTTACTGCATAATCAACTATTTAATTGTTTCACCTATAAAACTACTTCCTATAAAAACAACAATTTTCAGTGCTACATAAACAGTGCCTGTATACCTGTATGGTGAGAATAAAATTTCTGTTGATATACGAATGAATAATTCATGAACACAAAAATAGTCTGCCTACAGTAATTAATTAACAATTAATGATGTTATTGTCACATAGAAAGTCCATGTTTCAATACGAAAGTAGGATTATTATAATTAAGAAACTATTTTATAAAAATAGTAAATTGGCAGAATTTTTACATAGAGAATAGCAGTCACGTCGAATGATAGAAGTCTCTTTTTCTGGAAATCCTATAGTAGAGGTCTAACAGTATATAAACCCCACTCACTTCTTATCATTCTAAAATCTGACCTACAACCGAGAACAAAGTGATCTCCACATACTGCAGTTATAAAACACGTATATTGTTTAAATTAAGTATACTAACTTCAAAAGTTGTTTTGGTTTTAATAACGAATTTTCCATAATTCACTTCGAAAATGATATTCATTTTTTTCTATCACGTGAGGATTTTTTATAAATCTGGAAGAAAAAAAACTTTTACTTAGATCAAATTATTATTTCCTTTACCACAATGAACATTTTTATTATTATGTTTGTTAACAAAAATATAAACAAACTGAAGAAAAGTGAAGAACAGTGATTTCAAACGAATATGTATCATTCATTTTTTTTTGGTAAATCTACGTCTTTTAGTCTCAAAACTTCGTGTTGTGGTCTTTCTTTTATGTTTTGTGAAAAATCTGTACGTGATAGAGAAAAATGGACATCATTTTCGGATTCAGCGTACAGGAATTACTCTAGAACATGTAAAAATTTCAAGACAATAAAACCATCGCAGGCCTGTGTAATTAATGTTTTTTTTTTCGGTGTATTTAAAACTCAGGAAATTTTTATTTTATGATATCGTTATAACCGTTACATTTATTTGTTACTCTTCTAGAGAATTTTACAAAAATTTTTAGATATTTCTGAATAAAAAGAAATCTATTATACAATATTAGTGATTCAAGCAGCACATATGGGGACTGCTGTGTCACGTACCCTACTTTTGTGTAAAAAGTGTGGGCCTAAGAAGTGACACTTATACGTGATGTGGTTAAACTCTTGAAACAAAAAGGCAGAATAGCTGATAGATCTAGAATATTGGTCCCGACTATTTGTTTTTCTTATCTCTTTGAGACTTAACCACTTAAGAGCCACCTGCTGGATACGGTTTCGAGCTCTGTCCAATCTCTAAAGTAAACAAACAGCGCAGGCTCACGAGACAGGCTTGCTGCACCAATACTTCTACAGAAGATCTCCTTCGTACGAAGATCTTTCAAACAAGCAGAAGAAACTGTGTAAATATGGATTTGCTATTGAAGAAATCAATTAAAAGGATCGAATTACTGAATACATATCCGAATATTGTTTGTTTTTTCTGTTATATTTTAGGTTCCACTTGCAATCCTTCTAATCTTTGTCATATAAATTGTTATACTACATAAGATAAATCAAATTATCAGAAATATCATTACAAAGTACTTCTGATCTGGCCAGACTGGACCTAATGGTTAGCGTGCCGGAATGTAAACCCGTGGCCTGTGTCCACCGCGGAAATCAAACGAACCCAAAATTTGAGTGTCTTATAAGCCTCCAAACTTACCGCTGAACTACCTGGAGATCTTGTTCTGTGACCCACACATTGGAAACCGCAGTAATCAAAATAAGTCATATCAGCTAAAGCACCTTCACATTTCACACTAAAAATAATAGGATTCAAAATTTTTAATAATGAAATATTATAGAACGATCTATTCGACGAATTCTTGATGACATTTTTTTTTGAACTCGGATTTTTAGATATGAGGAAACAGTAATAAAGATACAGAATTACCCCCCTCGATGATGTATTGCTAACTGGGTTAGTGGTTTCTATAACTCTGTTATAAAAAAACTTGGGTTTTCATATTGTGTGTTGTACATGCGTGTATTAGCTTTGTACACTAATAAATGATCATGCTTGTTTTTGGTTATCCGAAAACGTAAACAAGAGCAGTAGACAAAAATATAACTTAGTGTTAGAAATACTACACTAGAGCAAACATCAGTGGTTTTAATAATAATATGCATTTTTAACATAATTTAAATTATATTTGTAGTTGCTTGGGTTTCCTAGCACTTATCTTATGAGGAAATTGGACCATCCTAGACGATCCAAACGCCATGCCTCACATTTGACCAAACGTCTATCAGATGATAAAAGGGTAAAAAAAATCTTTATCATAAACAAAAAATTCACTTAAGTAATTATTAACCAGTTAAAAGAGTTTTGGATAATTCTGCTAAAAGTATCGTGTGTTTGATAAGATCTTATATTATTTGAATGTTAAGGACTTATTTTAATAAACTGTTTTAAAAAGGGGTTTTTCATTTCAATTCATGTTAACAGTAATATTCTTCAAAGTTGAAAACCTCTCTTTCACGCGAGTTTCAAACTTCTGGTAAATGGCACGCCTCTGATTTGAAGATACCTTTCAAAAAACACATATTTTAGGCTATTATAAAGCCCTCAGTAATATATTTTGATTGTTTTTATTTTTTTAACTCCAAACATTATTATTTTTATCAAAATGAGCAAACTCAGACAAAACTCAAGTTTCAACTTTCATCACATTCAAATCAACTTTTAAGTTGAAAAAAAAATTTCATTAAATTAAAATAGGTATCGAGAGTGTAATTAGTCTAGTTGTAACTTATTATAAAAAAAATATTTCTTTAGAACATTGGCGCCCACACTAGGCCACTTCAGTTGATGGCCACAAAGCCAAGGGCAGTGCCTGTGATTGTTGATAATTAAATACAGTTGTGCTTACGTTCGCATTATCTGATCATAATTCGGGTCATGACTCAGATTTTTGAGAACCTGGTGTAATTTTCTTACATAATTATCAATCTACTTACGATATCATCTATATAAAACAAAGTTATATATCTTTTAATGTTTTATTTTATTTTAATGATTTTTGATGATAAATGAATATTATTGGTTTTAAATAAATGGAAATATATTTTTATTTTGCTAGCGTATTTGTTTTAACCGGTCTACTGTGTTATTATTATCCTTACTCGTAGTTTTCAGTTCTAACAGTAACATGATCTTAAAGTAATCACAAACTGATACTGTACTAATAGAAACTCTGTTTTAGGTAATCTGGGCAGAGCAACAGATTGCTAAAAAACGTGCTAAACGTGATTTTTTTCGAAGCCGAAGAAATCAAAACAATATGATTATGGACGAAAATGAACATCGATTTGAAGATGACCTCTGGGGACATCAATGGTACTTGGTATGTTGACTGTTTCGACTAAGTTCATTACTAAACCTAAATGTTATAGGCCTATGCTAATTTTATTGCTAGGCCTATTTCCATACAACTGTTCCGTGTAATTTATCACTGATACGTTTTTTGTTAGGATTAATTTCTAAATAATAGTTTTTGTAAAACCATTTTATTTTATTTTTCTTGACGTTTAAGTTTCATATTAATAACCAAATTTTGAAATGGAATTTCAGAATAAAAGTACTAGTTTATTTTATTACAAAGTTTCTTCTGCTACACAGTAACTGATCTAGGCTAGGCCTTTAGTTTAAGTTTAACTGAACATTTTTAAGGCCTCATATTTCAAAATGTGCAGTACTGCCAGTAGGTCTTCTGCTACCCCTTCCCTGTTATTTGTAAAATTTTGTTTTTGAAAAAATATTAACCAATCCTGATGAGAATATTTTATCCACATTGTTAGTGTTAATCTTCACACAATATGTTTATTTAAATAGCATGACACACGAAACATGCCTGACTTACCTGAATTAGACCTACACGTCACTAAAGTTTGGGATATGGGATACACCGGAAAGAACGTAGTCGTAACTGTGATGGACGATGGTGAGTTAAGTGACGTTTAGTGTACTTATATCAGTTATATATCCTAATAATAATTAGTTGTACGTTTTTAATCACACATAAATATATCAGATATATTATGAGAACGAGTTTGATTTTTAATAATTCGGGAATATAGGAATGCCAGAAGGATTTGCTAGTGGTTATATATGTATATATTGTTATAAGCTATGTTTTTATTCTTATAATTTAAATGTTAGCTAGATGGAGCTGCGGGTTTTAATGGTAATATTGATATCAAAATATTTAATAAAATAGGGTTATTTGTTTTTCGTTTTATTATAAGAAATAATAATTCTTATCTTGCTTGGGCTCTCGATTAGTTGAAAAGAAAACGAAAAACTTAATTATTTCATCACACTTTAAAATATCAATATCGCTTTTAAAAGTGAAATTTTGATTCACAATTCTCACATGTAAAATATTTATTACTTTTCTCCAATTTAACATCACCTATATGTTGTAAGAAAAATACTTCAATACATTTGTTTTCTTTCTAAAAACTATCCAATGTTTCGTGTGTTTTTTTTAAGGTTTGGAGTGGAACCACACAGATATAAAGAAAAATTATGTAAGTGTTCTTTAAAAATAATATGTTTTAATAGTTATATAAGTTTGTTTAAGATCTTTTACATCAAAACCCAAAATTCATAATTAATGTGTGTTTGACGTTTTAAAAGTTGAATTAATGATTTATTCAAACTTCGACATTGTTACTGGTTGTTTTCTGTGTTCAAAGTACGTTATGGTGATTGATTGATTGGGATATTTATATTTAAAGCAAGATTACAGTATAAAACATTTATCATCAACAAAGATTCACGAGCGATAAATATTTGGGTGGAATTCTCATATGTAAAATTTGATTGTTTCTTTATTTGTAATTAAGCACAAAGCTACACAATGGGCTATCTGTGCTCTGCCCACCACGAGTATCGAAACCAGATTTTTAGCGTTGTAAGTCCGCAGACATACCGCTGTGCCACTGGGGGGCTAAAATTGGAACAAATATATATTTGGAGGCATTATATTCTCTCAAAATATAAACGTTTGGAACCTATGTCTGTTAATAAAATCACTCGCAATTTTGTTTTTTTTATTGTAATTTTTCCATTAAATATTTGTGATTTTTATTTTAAATAAGTGTTGAATAGTTCCCAATAATCAAAATCACAAGTTGTTCGAACGAAGTCAAAAAAGTATAAAAGCGAATTGTGGAATTCATAGCGTTCTTTAAGAACTGGCTCTGGCTTCTACTCTCTTCTGTGTACTTGTTTTATATTTAGATAAGATGATAAACTGATTAGTTTATAATAATAATATTAGCAAGTGGTACAAACCGGTTCAAACCACGAGCGATTTTACTCCCTCCGATTTATTTGTACGTAAATGTATTTAATTTTGGATATGTGATTGAATGATTCCTAAGCCTTTTGTCTGGGATTATAAAAGATGATTTAATCAGCTATTGAAACTTCAAAGGAAATCTGAAGTTTCCCAAAAACAAATTAGGACTTATTAGTATACTTTTATCTTTGAAAAGTTATGTTACGAAAGCGGAAGTCACGTGACTCTGGTAACGTAATGAGTATCTCGAACGTTCCTGAAGGCTCGAGTGTTTGCCAGACGCCCTCTATTTTGTATATATAAGACCGGCGAGAAGTGACGGCATAGATAAGGGCCGATAGGGAGATATAGAAAAAGATAATCGAGTCGAGAGAGAGTTAGTGACCATAAGTAAAGTGCGTGAATCGTTGTGAATTATAGCGTGTGTTTAAGTTAAAGTGACTGTTGAAATTCTGTGTATTGCAAAGTTGTGTTGAGAAAGAATAAAGTAGTTTTATTTAAGAAAGGACTTGTATCGCTGAAGTTTCATCCGAAAGAAATTATACGGGAAATTAACAAACGACCAGAGACGTAACAGTTACTTGTAATTATATAGGACCCCAAAGCCAGCTGGGACACAAATGATAATGATCCAGACCCCTTTCCTCGATATGATGAATTTGATTCCAACAAGTAAGTCGATATTTCCAATATATATAAAGCTAAACAAAGTAAGTTTTGTATGATTGTTTTATTTGAATTCTTCCTTTCGGTGCTGTTAGTAGTATGATATTTATGTAGATTACATGTTTTAATTCCCTTTAAGGTGTTTTCTTGGTCGAATCAATTTTTTTAAATGACTAGGATAGTTCTCTATATCATATCTTATCTTGAGGAGAATGAAATGCACGAGCTACAATTATTCTTTATGTTTCTAGTCACGGAACTCGCTGTGCTGGAGAAATTGCAATGGAAGGAAACAATTACAAGTGTGGAGTTGGTATTGCATACAACGCAAGAATTGGGGGTAAAAAAAACTTAGATTATACTTGTAAATATTGGTCTTGGCTCACCTTCTAGAGAATAGTTATAAATTTGTGTCCAACAAATTTTGTTACTGCTTTATGACTACACTGGTGTCTTCAGCGCAACCTAGTGGTAAACGAAAGAAAATCATTATGGTGTCTTAATGGCAATACTTTTTTTTATGTGTTTAAGCATTTGTATGTTTCATGGTGCTATAACTAAAGGATAGAATTAATGCTTTTAGATTACGTTTTAGTATTTTCTGGTCATTACAGTGCCCCCTGTGACCTAATGTATGAACCAATTTATATATTTTCTGAAAGTAACGGTTTACTATTATATATATTCAGGTATTCGTATGTTAGACGGACCTGTGACTGACGCGGTAGAGTCAGTATCTCTGGCTTACAATGTGGACTACATTGACGTTTACAGCGCATCCTGGGGGCCAAATGATGATGGGATGACAGTGGACGGCCCGAAGCGGCTTGCAGTCGAAGCTTTAGAGAAAGGAATTTTTAAAGTAATCAAGAAATTACGTTGCAAACAAATGATTTTTTAAGTTTTTTTATTTAAAAAGTCGAAATTCGGGATAATATTAGATTTCATTTACCTAAAACTGTGTTTTTATATCATGAACTACTTTTCTTAGGCCTAATGTTTTTTGTTATTCAATAATCAGTGTAATTCAAAGTTACTCAAAACTAGTTGTGTTGTAACGTTTGTTGAATGTGTTCAGCGTCAATGGAGACTGTCGACTTTTCATGTTATTAAGTTTCACAATGAAGACAGCTGTAACCTTAGTGAAGAAGCTAAGGAAAAAAGCTTAACATTAATCACTTCTAGTTTGTATCAAAGAATCTGTTATAGTAGAGTTGTAATAAAACGTGAAGGATAACAATGTTATATATTCAACAATACTTTTAAGAAACAAACATTCACGAATAATAATGGCTGGAGACGGCTTGAATGGGTAATGAAGAAAAACTTTAATACAACAGCAAATGTACAACGTTTCGACAAGGTTTTGTCATCATCAGGTT